GATTGGCCTGTTTGGGTGAGAAGATGTTTAAAAATATTTATAAACATGTTTTATAACATTTAATATAAGATCTTGTTTAATTTTTTATTTTAATTCTAAATATAAGATCTTAATCTATTTTGTCTTTTATATTTATGTACTACTTTCAGTCCTTAATATAAGACCCTATTTGACTTTTATTTTAATCCTAAATATAACATCTCAATCCCCTTATTTCTCATATTCTAACAATAGTAATTCTAACCAATACACTTGATTAGCAAAGATATTTTAGGAAAAACAATAACTATTTATTACAAATAACTAACTTAACCTCCTTCCTTAATCTCCTAAAATTAATCAATTAGCTCTTATAATTAGAACCAGAAGTAGTATAAATCAGGATAATTTTCTTCACATATTTATTTTACATATTTGATAAATTATGATTAAAAATTTATTTATAAATTATTTCAAACAGAACTACTCCTCCTGTCCTTAATATATGACTCAATTGTTGAGTTGGTTTTGGTTCTAAATATAAGGCCTATTTCTTATATTTATCAATTTTCACTAAATTACCCATATGGATACTTTCTTAACTATAATCAAGTAGAAGAGGAAGAAAGAATATTAAGAAAGATGATTGTGATATTTTAGGAAAAACGTGTCATATTTCTTATAATTAATTAACTTACCTAACTTTTTTAATTTAATCAAATTAATTAAATTAGTCTTATATTAAAGATCCAAGGAGTGTTATTTACTCCTCACGCACTCTTGGGCAAAAACCAAAAAAAAAAGTTTATATCATCTGTGTTATTTTTTTTTACCAGCATATCATCTGTGTTATTATTTTTAAACTTTTTAGTAGACAACATAACAGCGTGACATGCAATGAACCCCGGCACAAGGTAAAAGTTTTTCCGACCAGGTTAAACTGAAGGTTGAAATATTTAATAATAATATTATTATTATTTACAATTCTTATTATAATAACTAGCTGAAATAAGTTTATTAAGTTAGTTATTTTTAATAAAATAGGTGTTGTTTTTGTTTTTCCTATAACATTCTTGTTAATAATGTGTATCAGTTAGAATAATCATTTGATGGAATCTTTAACACGTGGGAATATTATAAGGATTACGTTAAAAAAATAATTAAATATAAGAGGCAAAATATATTAGGATCTTGTATTTATGATTAAATTAAAAGTTAAATTAACTTCTATGTTAAAAATCAGAAGAGACACTACTAAAGAACGATGGATTAGAGATGAATACTAAGGAAAATACGTATGAAAAATGTATTGGAATTTCATGCAAGATGCCAAACTTTGGAAGGATCGGTTCCATCTCAAGATTTGGCATGTAGTGCCATCATCTGAAACTCCTTCTTATTCTCCTGACTCCTTCCATATTTTTTTTTATTCGCGTGGTTAATTATCACTCCGTCCAATTCTAACCATAAAAACCAATTAAAAGATTTATTTATATTTTACCTATAAAGTCTTAATCTATTTTATCTATGTAAGTTTAAAACTTTTTTTTTTAACTTCACAAATTTTATTTTTTTCTTAAATTATCTTTATTGATTACACATCTTAAAAAAAGTTTTCACCTACAAGAGTAATTAAAATGGATATTTGAGACAAACCAATATGTATTTATTATAAATAACTAACTTATATATTTTTTAAATATTTAAAAATTAATTATTTAATATTTATATTTAAGATGAGAGCCATCACATTATATCTTTGAAAATTATCCTCTCAGAAAAATATATTTGGCGTTATTCGGAATAATCCCTGCTTCGTGAAGTTGTTTGTTTCGCAGAATAACGGAATATATGGTAACAGAGACGTGAGTATAAAAGCCATTACACATAACAATTTGGGATTTAAGAAAACACCATAAATGGAAAGCAACCTCAGGTCCCGGGGAAAAAAAAACAAAAGAAAAGAAACTCGAATCACCCTTTGCCTAACCGCCGTTAAATATAGATCGGAATTAGTCGGATGAAAATTTCATATTTAGGGCCTGTTTGGGTATCCCCAAACCGTGGTTTCAAAAGTACTTTTCCGCAAAACGAGATAATCTCCTCCACATATTTATTTCGTAATCCGTAAAAACACTTCTGAAACCATGGTTTGGTTTCTATCCAAACACACCCTTAGAAACAAATCAATAATTACTTTAGAGGTGAGGCAAAGACCTTGTCCCATCCACTTTTTCTAAACAAATATTTTCAACATCGCGTCACAAGCAATCGATTGTCTCTTGATTTCGGCCAAGGCACCGTTTGGATGCACTTGCAAACCATGGTTTGGAAGCCCAAACCATGGTTTGCACAAAATGCTATCCAAACACCCTCTCAAAAACCAAAACCATAGTTTTGGGCCAAATCATGGTTTTGAAAAAAGCAAAAAAATTTTGCTTTTGGAGAAAAAAGGGAGAGTGTGAGAGTCTATAGGATATGTATCTTGTTGTTTTTTTTATAAACATATTTTTTTTATAAACATATTTAATCTTATATTTTATAAATATATATACATATTAATTATTTATTAATTATATTATCTTATGTATTATTAATTATGTTAATAAAAAAATATATTATTAACAATTTTATTCCTCTAAATTAAAATATATCATAAAATCTATTTTTTCTGTAATTATCATATTAACTTATTTCTTTTTTTTTAGTAATTTGTATATAAAAAGTTCTTCTGATAACAACTATCTAAACACTTTCACTTCTCAAAATCACTTTTTCATAAAATCTATTCTTCCCAGAATCTATTCTCCAGAATCAGTTTTTCAAATCACGGTTTGGTTTCATCCAAACACATCCTAAACCCAAAAAAAAAAATCAAATTTTATTGATTGAAACCTAAACTTGGTCTGACCCCCTCTCCCTGCCTTCAACGGAAAATATAAAACTTATTTTATATTGTAATTTATGTTACAAAATTGATATTACACTCAGAACCCGAGGGAGTACTTTTTAATGATAAAAAATAGAATAATTACTTAATTAGGCATAATTTTAATTTAGATGAAATTCATAAGAAGCTTGTTAATAGTAATTTAAGGAAGGAAAAAACTTGGCTCCCTAATAAATGCTTATTGTATTTGTTTTTGACCGAGTCAGGACAAGTTGATTTTAATTTTGGCATGAAATTATACAATATACCGAAGTTTAAAACCCAACGTCTGCCCATAAAAAAAAAAAAGTTTCAAAAGAACTTTCATGGAAAGCGTTAATATATTACTTACCCGTATACGATATAAAAGGCTAATCAATTATTAAAAAAACGAAAGAAAAATTAACCTAACGAGCGGCGCACAATTATATGAGTGCGTTTTCTTTTCGTTTTCGTTTTCTATCTTCCTTTCTTGGCAAAAAAGTTCTAAACATATGAATGAGTGATGCTAATGTCTTAATGAAAAGAGTGAAAGTTATTTCAAAAAATTAAGTGTAACCAGTCACCTAACACAGGCAGAACTCCAAGGATAAATTAACATTTCGCATTCTGATTTTATATAGAGTTAAGGTGTATCTAATATTTTAAAACATTTTCTCCAATATATTTAGCATCTTGAAATATTTTATAGTGCATCAAGTACCTAAAAACTTTTTTAGATGCATCAAACATTCTAAAGTATTTTTTCTTTATTTTTGAATGTTGGACGCACTCAAAAAAATATTTTAAGATACTGGATAATTGAAAAAATATTTTAAGATACTGAACGTACTAAAAAAAAATACTTATAAGTATTAGATGGGTCACAAAATATTTTAAGTGTTGGATGTAGTGGAGAAAATATTTCAAGTGTTGAGTGTAACTTAACCTTTTTATATATGATGTGCATTCATCACCCTAATATTTTTCTTTTACCCCTACCCGGATGTTATTTTTTTTGGTTATATTTATCATCATAATTTTATTTATGATTTAGAGTAATGAATGCACTATAAATAAAATTAGGTGTTAGACACATCAAAAATTTAATATCACGGTGTTAGATGTACCATAAAAATAAAACATGATTAGAGAGTGCAGATACTACCTTGCTCATTTTAATTCTTAGGAAAATTATGCAATTTTAGAGTGCGCCGACGAAATTTGTCAACCAAGTATTCAAAGAGGCGACATTCTCAAAACTGAAATTTAAAACCATTGATTGTGCTCATGAAGATTATAACTAGAAATTGCTAAAAGTCCTGCCTTACAAAATTTATTACCCACTCAGATCCTTAAAATGGTCCTCCTCATCTTTAGCTTGTGCACACAAGAAGAAGAAGAGTTGCGCACAGGCCATTAAATAAACTTGAAGTACCTTCTTTTGACCCAAAAAAAAAAAAAAACTTGAAGTACCTTCAACAATAAATTTTGTAATTGAGAATTTTTCAGCAACCGTTTGGAAAACAATTTCGAAAAATAAAAAAATATAACAAGTACGGAAGTAGAAATAAGAATAGGTTAGACTTGTAGATGAACGTGGATTGTCATCAGAAACGCATGATAAGAAATTAAAATGGTTTAAAAAAAAAAAAAGAAAGAGGGGGTTAGGTCGAGAATTAGAATTTGGAGCTGGGGACATATTCTTTCTCATGTCACATGCATGCACAGAATACGATGCCCGATCTCACGCTCCCATCACCATAGATAGCCTCCACTGCGGGCCCCACTTACTCACCTGTGTTTTCACAAATCTTGGGTATTGCTTGCTCACACATTCATTAATAATTAATATCAAAACTTTGTTGAATCACCCCAAATTACCAGCCCAAAACAAAGACAACCCAAAATTCTCACAAGTTTCGTACTAGTGTTCATTATTTCAAAGCGAAGCCTCATATTTTCCAATTTAGTCATAACACAACATGACTGAATCGAGACACCTACAATCACACTTCAAGTATCATTTAAATCTATATCATCTCTTCAGTCCCCCCCCCCCAAAAAAAATCCCAAACTACCTTTCAATCGCGCACACATATTGTCAACGAAGTGCATAAAAAAGAACAAAAGGGTAACTTCAAAATCTAGGAAAAAACTTGTTTGGAGGAAAAAGCAAGTATTTTTGTTGCACGCAAATCAGATCAGGTCCGAACATTAGAATGAACAAGTACGAAGTAGATGCGTGCATGGATAGGCAAGACCACAAATCGCAGATTTGGCGATTCTCACACACAAATCCTGCACACACAAAGGTGGGGGGTGGGGAATCATAGGAACCTGCAACGGGAAAAAGGACTTCTTTTCTATACTCTGCCCCAAAGGCAGAGATATCCAATGCGATCCTTCCACGTGTAATCGTGGGGTCACAGTTAGATCACAAATGTAAGAACCGAGAGAGCTGGGTGGGGTTCACTATGCCAGGTACGTGGGTCCCACTCGCCCTCAACAAGTCTGCTAGTTCCGCGTACCTTTCTTGCTTCTCCGGCTCCGCTTCTCGTGTCTGGCTCGACTTGCCTTTTCTCTTATCGGCCTCTGTGGGGCCCTCTGCCGCTCGGAATGGGTCCCAAGGCTCGCCGAAGAGAGTCCCTCTCGTGAGGAACTCGTGGGCCAGGAAGCCCGCTAGGAGCTGAGTGGAAGAGGTCGGTTCCAAGCCTTTACCGTTGCTGCGGGGTGGCTCGAAGCCAGCTCTCGGCTTATCCGGCTTGAGAGATTTGGTTGAGTTTATGGTCGTTGGAGCATTGGATGATGGGCTGGGCTTGGGCCTCTCAAAGCCTTCATCTCTCTCTTTGCGCTTGTTATTACTAAGGGAAGTGCTAGGCGTTAATACACGCCGTGGAGGCAAACGCATCGTTTTGGTATTCATGGCTGTGTGGCTGCATGACACGTCAGCGCCCAAACGCCGAGAAATTTTTTTTCGACAAAACAAAAAGTGGAGCAAATTTTAAATTCAAGAAAAAAGGGGAAAAAACCCAGGTGGCCAGAACAACTAACCTGACGGTTTTTGATTGGGAAGAAAAAAGAATGAGTAGGCAAAAGCGTAAATTAAGTAAAAAGAAAGGGCAAAGACGAAGGGAAGTGTGTGACGAGCGGAAGGACGGATCAGATAGGGATGAGACGGAATCTGGGTATTGGGTGGGAGTGACGCAGCCACTTATAATTTCCGGCGGAATTGAGAAGAGAAGGGAAGAGAGATGAAGAGAAAGAAAGAGACGCGAAACCGACGGGCAGAAGAGAAGAATGGGCAAGGAAGCGGGGGCTTTCGTATTTATAGCGCCGGAAATAACTAATTGCCCTCTTAACTTGACAAATATTACAACCGTACCAAGGACGTTTAAAATGACTGACTCGCCCTCGCTCCTTCGTTCCAGAAGTTTTGAATTTTTTTTTAAAGTCAGTATCAGTGTCGATATAAAATATATGTAGAAATAAATTATGTGATTTTTATTATTTCAATATTTTTAAACAGGATTTATATATTCAAAATATGAATAAATTTTAAATTATCATCTCTTCCATGCATTGCGTGAGAAAAAATTTCATGTTCATATATTGATGAAACAAATTTTCAAAGATAATTTAGACGTTTTAAAATTAGAGTAGCGTTTTATACAATATATCAATACTTTTTTCCCAGATAATACTATAGATCAGTACAATTCAATTATTGTCACTTGAAATCAATCCTCTGATAATTTTGTGAGAATGAATTTAAATATAAATTATTTTTATATTAAAAATTAATCATCGTATCAAGTATCATTAATCACGTTACCGACACACACACACCAATTAATAGTAACACAAATCCTCGATCAATAAACCAGAAAATCTAATAAAGAAACAAATCAAACATCCGAATCCTGTCTTTTGTTTAGGGATATATCACATATGGATTTTTTAGAAAAAGATGCAGATTCTTGAAGGGGCATTTTCTATAGAATAAGTGGATTTTCCCCCTTTTTTGGTTGGATTGAAATTAACAAAGCCTTGCAGTGGCTGGATAGTTTGTTCGGCCTGAACAAATTAAATTTAGGTCTAAACTTTAATGTCATACTTAAAGTCACACCGAAGTTTACCTTGACCATAATTAAATATCAAAGCCAACCGAAACCCTATTCTCAAAACACGTTTTTAACATTCTATCAACTAATTTTTCTATTGTACAGATAACATGTTCTAATAATGTTCCACTTCAAGAGGAATTCTTTGGAGAAATTGTAAAAAAAGACATTGGAATTACAAAAACACATATAGAACCATTGATAATTTCACTTTAGGTTTTGACAATAATACTATGTCATGAAATTGTCAAAACCTAAAGTAAAGTTATCAAGGTTTCTATCTGTGTTTTTGCAATTCTAAGAATTTTTTTTGCAATTTTCCCAATTCTTTAATCAACATGAAAAAAAACTAAAGTTGATACAAATTTTGGCTTTTCAAGATTGTCCTAATTTTAGTTTTATCCCTCAAATTTCAAATTATAAGTTTTAGTCCCTCAAGTTTCTTTTATTTATAATATTGGTCCTATAATTCAATGAAAATTAGATATTTTACTCATTGAGGGATCAAAACCAAAATAACTACAAATTTGAGGGATCAGAAATTATGTTAACTCAAAAAATTAATACAAACTTTCAATCTTATAATTATTAGAAAAATCACTACTTTGCTAAGTGGGAAAAAATGTTTGGCTGCAAGATGCTGGGCTTAAAGAAGTAAACTCGGAGGGAATTAAATTCGTTTTAATGAAGAAGCCTGATCTGGACATAAAGCAGATCTAACTTCACACGCGTGCCTCTCTCTCTCTCTCTCTCTCTCTCTCTCACAAACTGGACTATATTTAATTTCAAGCATATTATCAGGTAAAAAAATGGGGATGGGTATTTGTTTTTCTCGCCTTCAAAACATGCTTTTTCACCGCAAAAGGCACACAAAATAACTTATTAATGAATTTCGGTACCCTGCTAAAAAAAAACTTATAATAACTAATAAGCTGATGCTGAATTAAATTAAAATAGCCGTAAACTGGAAACTGAACTCTATAGTAGATATATAAATCATAATTATGTTACGTTAACATCCGGTGAGTTGCGCATTTAAAGAAAACAGTCATTTTTATGCCAAAATTATTCTAGGCTTGCAGTTAATATTAATAGTGAGAAAATCAAATATCGAGTCAGGCCCAATTGATAAGTTTTTAAATCTTATTTAAAAACTATGAGGTTGTACGTTTGATTTTGTGAACTGAGTAAGATTTTGGACGGAGGGGGAAAAAAAAAAGGAGGCAAAGAGAGAGATGGAAAAGTTGCGCGCTTTGTCAGATTGCATCGCGGATGAATAGGGCCTTATCCCCAACAGGATTAAATCCAATAAAAAAGGTTAGTCGTTCTCAACCAGATAAATTAAAATTTGAATTCTTACCGGGAGAGATGTTCTTATTTAGTGCTTGATAGCACCTGAATAAAATTACTTCCATATAATGATACCTATTCGTGGCCAAAAAAAAAGAAAAAGAAAAAGAACAGTGCCTTGCAAAAAATCCTCTTGTTGTTCTTAATAGATGACATAATTATTAAGTTAATCTTGCTCCTAAATGTAAGATCTATTTTTTATATTTATCAAATTTTCTTAAAATTATTCCTATTGATGCTTCATCAATCATAATCAAGTAGGAGATGGAGGGAGAATATTAAAGAATATAACTATGGTGTTTTAAGAAAAACATATCATGTTTTTTATAATTAACTAACGTACCTGATTTCTTTAATCTAATCAAACTAGTTAAATATGTCGTACATTAAGAACCGAAAGAATTACAGGAAAAGCCAATAAAGAAGGAGCTATTATAAACAGAGCATGGTTAGTGTTTAAAAGAGCAAATCCATTACTTACATAATTTGACAAGGTTGATAGATAGCCGAGCCCCTTAAATATGACGTCGTAGGTTTTAACTAGGTTGTATGCGTAGAAAGGTTTTATTAAAAGAGATAAAACCTAGTAGTATTTTGGTGATAGAAGATTAATTTCTAACCCTTGATCGAGAAATACCGTCTGATTTCCTAAAAAAAGAAGAGGAGCGAATCAGTTAGGGGTCCCTATCATCATCACGGTGAGAGTTATCTTCGATTGAAAAAGAACCTCCTTCCCATCACATCTCACCACTCACACCAGCCATTTTATCATTTCTTAATTCCTCTATTGTATTAACATATGAATCTCTCCCTGTATATATCCACCTCATCAAAATTACGAGTCCATTAATTTCTTATTTTATCCGCACAGCTCAACCAGAAGCAGCTCCTAAAATGCTGACATTCAGTCACCGCTATATATGTTTGTGTGACGTGAAAAACATGGATCAAGTGAGAAGTCCCCATACACATATATTTTAACTTTTTTAAATAAATCATTTCGTTAAATTTATTATATATAAATGTATAATTTTGTTCTCAACTTGTTATTCTGTAGAGTGTTTAATTTCTTAAAAAAATATGTATATTAAATAAGTATAAAGTTTTTAAGACGGATTAATGAGATTTACGGGTCTAGGGTTGTAATCTTACACATTGACAAGTTTCATCCAATATAATTTATTTTTTTTCCCAAATGTCGTTGTTCTTTTAGTGGCACGTTGGAAAAATTGTGACGGAAAACCTTAAAATATTCACATTGTTCAATATCAAATTCTTTCGTATATGGTCTAATTATCATTTTATTTTTGGCATGCTTATAACACGGGATCCAGTCACAATAAAAATGGGCAATGCAATTATAAACAGTATTTAAAAAATGTTGAGGATATATAAATAAATATGTGTAATTATTATTTTTTTATAAAGAAAAACATCAACGTCTTTTTGTCACACAGGTGCGAGGGGGAGAAAACTTAAATCTTGCCTTTATTTAAATGTTTTCCATCAAGCAAGCAATTTTAGCCAAACGAATCAAGCAAGTAATAAAGCATCTCTCAAATGCAAAATAAACCAACTAATATAATCTCTTTATTCACAGAATAATCAATTAATACTTTAATTTCTATCAAATCAATCACTCAACCAGTGAAGAAAAGAAAGAATAGCTTATCAGGAATTTTAATCACGAATGAAGTAGCAAGTGACCCCTATATGTACATATATATCAATAATTCTGTACATTAAAAACCATATAGTTCGGAGAAGGGTTCTGTACTCGAATGGAAATTTATAAATTCTGCACACTGAGTGTTAATTAGTTAAAATTTAAACAAAAATCTTTGAAAATACGTAAGCAGTTTTCTTTTTTTTTTAACTCAAATTCAACTATGAGTATAAATATTTTAATATTTTATTCATACTAAAGTCAAAATAAAAGAAAAATACTTAGCCCCGTACCTAATCTCAGCCATCTACCTGGCTGCGCTGAGGGAACTATAATTTATCTATGTTTTTTTATTGGTATTAGAAGGGGCATCCATCATTGATAGGAGCTGGTTACAGTGAGAAAGGTTTATAATGACTTAAACATGAGTTGTTAAGTTTAAATTTACATAAATATAGAAAATGGATTTAGGATGGTCATTACGTAGTTCCTTTCTACTGGACTGCTTTTTCTATTAGGTTTCATAAAATCAATCAATTTTAGGCTAAAAGTGTATCTTTCTAAAATACCTCTTAAACACCCTCATTTTTTCTTAGACTACAGTTTTAACCCTGAATCGTAGTTATCTCATAAAAACAACTGATAAGTGCACCAATAGCTATGCTCAGAATCAATTATTCAAAGGTCTTATTGTGCCCGGTCAAAAAAAAAGAGAAGGTCTTAGTGTGCCCAATGGTCCCAAATCATAACCAATCAGAATAGGTAAAATTA